GAATCTTTGAATCATTCACTCAACACATTTGTTCAGAAAAATCAAACCCACTTCACGTGTATGTTCATATTAATGCGAATAATTTTGAAAATCGAATAAATAAAAAAAAATTAAATAAAAAATACATAAATATTTTTTTAGAGATCCAGTAGCTAAAAAATAGACACAAACTTTTAAAAAATCCAATAAATAAATAATAGCTATAAAAAATAAATAATTTTAAAAATCCCATAACTAAAAAAAATATATAAAATAAAATATAAAATATATATTTTTCATAAAACATTTTATAACATAATTTTAATTTAAAAAGCCTTTTTAAATAACTGAATAAATACATTAAAAATCCAATGAATAAAAAAATTATAAAATTCAATGAATGTTTTATTTTTATAGAATATGTCTCATTTGATGCTTATGTAATTTTTAGTATGCATTTTTAGAATATGACACTTTGAATCTCATACAATATGATTCTTTTGATATTTATATAATACAACTTTTGATTCTTCTAGAATATGACTCGTTTGGTTCTTCTAGAATATGACTCGTTTGATTCTTCTAGAATATGACTCGTTTGGTTCTTCTAGAATATGAGTCGTTTGATTCTTCTTGAATATGATTCGTTTGATTCTTGTAGAATGTGACTCGTGTGTGTGATTGTGTGTGTGTTGGTCAGGTGGAGGAGCTGCTCGGTCAGCTGTGTCTGGACCCTGAGAAGATGCTCCAGCTGATGACTCTGGGTTTCTCGGAGCAGGAGGCGCGTCTGGGTCTGAGAGCCTGTCGAGGAGACGTGGAGGCAGCGGAGCGGCTCATCTCGCAGAGGAAGAAGGTGCTGCAGCACAAACGTGTTAATAAATCACCACAGCTTTTACTCACGTGAGCTCACAGTTAAACATGAGCTGATCTCTCATCAGGAGAAGAAGGAGCTGAAGGAGCGAGAGCGGGAGAAAAGGAGATGCCGTCTGCAGGACATCAACACACTGGTGGAGAACTCTTTACTGAATGAACCGAAAAAAACACACAACAGATGAGCAACAAACAAAAATCAGATTTTTAAAAAATATTTAGCATTTTATTGTTTACATTTATATTGAATGAAAAGAGAAAATATATTTTATCAAAAAACATTTTAGATTTTTTTTTTCAGGTTTTTAAAAACATTTTACAAAAGAAAAAACAGATAAAAAGAATACAAAACAAAGTAATACACGGGCTTATTAATATGCCAACATTTATTTATGCATATTTATTAAAAAATTCCGTTTAATATTGACTGAAAAGAGAAAACAGACACAATATATGATCAAAAACCATCTTTTCAGATTTTTAAAACATTTTACAAAAGAAAAATATAGATGAATATAAAATAAACTAAATATAAACTAAAATTTAAATATTTATATTATGCATAAATATAAAAAATACTATTATTTATTATTAATAAAAATAAAGAAATATGCATGTATAACTGCATCCACAAACATATAAACATAAATATGAAAAACATTTTTTTGATTTTTACAACAGAAAAAAGTAAAAAAAATTATATATTAAAAAATATGAGAGATTTCAAAAAACATAAATAGATATGCATATATAACTGTATCCACAAACATATATAAACAAATCAACATATGTATATATATATATATATATAGAAAAACATAATTTCAAGATTTTTGAAAATAGATGAATACAAAAAATAATTTAAAAAATGCATAAATACAGTATAAAACTGCATAAATGCATATAAAACTGCGTCCATATATATTATATTTTATAGATGTTTTTTGTTAAATTATTTTGTAAGAGAAAACAGACAGTCAAGAGATCTTTTCATATTTTTACCTTTTTTAACTTCAAAAAAAAATTTTCCACTTTTTACAACAGGAAAAAACGAGATGAATACATAAAAGTTAAAAAATAAATCGGCCTATTATAATTATGTTTTAATATAAAGTAGCCAAGTGTGAAGGGAACTGAAGCTGTTGTTTTGTCTGATGTCAGAATAATGTTCTCTGCTGTTATTCTGCAGGTTCTGCTGGATGGCGCTGAAGCTCAGAGTTCAGACGGACAGACTAAGCTGGATCAGGTGTGTTCCTGTGTGTTTATTCATGACTCCAGTGTGAGATGATGCTGATGCTGATGATGCTGTGTGTGTTTATTCGTGACTCCAGTGTGAGATGATGCTGATGCTGATGATGCTGTGTGTGTTTATTCATGACTCCAGTGTGAGATGATGCTGATGCTGATGATGCTGTGTGTGTTTATTCATGACTCCAGTGTGAGATGATGCTGATGCTGATGATGCTGTGTGAATAATTATTATTTAACAACAATAATGTTTTAGTATTTATTTTTGTAATTTATTGTTTTTATTATTTATTATTAATGAAAGAAATCGTGATGAGAGCTGCAGATGTTGTGTGTGTGTGTGTGTGTGTGTGTGTGTGTGTGTGTGTGAATGACTTGTTTCACATAAAGAAATCGTGATGAGTGAGAGCTGCAGATGTTGTGTGTGTGTGTGCAGCTTCAGCTTGGAGTCGTCTGGACGAGGATCTGGTGAACGAGGTTCTGGAGGACATTCCCCGACACGAGGAGGATTATCTGGATCTGACGCTGGACGAGGAGAAGGAGCTGCTGCTGCAGATCAGATCCAGTCTGGAGAAGCAGAGCTCCTCACCTCCAGATCGCTCGTGAATCACTTCCAGAAAATATATGTGATGCCCTTTTATTTCTTTCAGATAGCAGAGAATCAAAAAAAGAAAATAACCTTAGATTTCTACAATAATTGGAGTCATATTTGAAGCTTGATTGATGACGTCAAAGAACGATCGCTTTATCTTTATTAGAAGATTCGTTGAAGGGAACATGTTTGATGGTAATTCTACACTAATTTCATGATCAGTTCAGTTTAAGTGCTTTCAGTTCTGACTCTGTTTATAATGTTCGTCTCCTGAAGATGTTTGTTAAACGCAATAAAGATTCTCTCGTTGTGATTATTAACTGCATGTTGTGCAATAGCTCATTTTTTATAATCACTGCACTTTTTTTCGGGGTGTGAATAAGAAAAATTATTATTGGAATATTTTTTACTAGAAAAAAAAAAGTTTGTTTTTCTGCTGATTTTCACGTTTAATGCAGTGTGTTGCTGTTTCTTCGTAATCATTGGTGAAATTAACTAGTAATTACTGAGTGAAAATTGTCAAAGTAACTCTATGACATTTTTTTCAGTGTTATTATAATTAATGGACAAAATGAAAAATATATTTAATATTTCTAAAACATAGGTTTCTTCTGCTCACTAGAGCTGCACTTATTAAATCAAAAATAGAGTAAAAATGTGAAATATTATTATAATGTAAAATAGCTGTTTTCTATGTGAATCTCTGTTAAACTGTAATTTATTTCTGTGATGCGCAGCTGTATTTTCAGCATCATTACTCCAGTCTTCAGTGTCACATGATCTTCAGAAATCATTCTAATATTCTGCTCGAGAAACATTTCTGATTATTATCAATGTTGAAAACAGAATATTTTTGTGGAAACTGTGATGCATTTTATTTTTCAGGATTCACAGATGAATAGAAAGTTCAAAAGAACAGCATTTATTTGAAATAGAAATATACTCTAACATTATAAATGTCTTAACTGACACGTTTGATCAATTTAATGTGTCCCTGATTTATAAAAAAATATATTTCAATAATGAAAAAAAATTACTGAACCCAAACTTTTATACAGGCATGTGTTTGTAAATTTTTGCCTAACTACGCAGTTGTTCTGGAGTCAGAGAGAGACACAGAGACTCTTGTGTGATAAAATACCATCTTGACTGTGGTTTAGAGTTTATTTTACATGCTGAGAGAGAAGCAGGGTCCCGGTGAGGATGCTGGAGGGTTTAGAAGTAGTTGACGATCCTCCGGATGGACTGGATGTTGGGGTTCTGCGCCTGCCACTCGTTATGACTGCAGTAATTACCTCGCTCCACGATGTACATGCGGCCGCGGAAGTTCGGCTCTTCATACATCACCCACCTGAACATTAGACCAGATTAAACCAGACTCAAACTAATCCAAAAAACATTTTTCAGTAATTGAAATAAAGCTGAAATAAATGTTAAATATTAGATGAAAAAATTAAAATCTGAAATGCTGTCTTGGCAATGAACTAAAATAAAATTAAGTAATTAAAAAAACTAAAACTAAACATTTAAGCTAAATAGAAATATCAAAAGAAACTAATAAAAATGACAAAAGCACATAACATTGTTAACTAAAAAAATAGGTAATTGAAATAAAGCAGAAAATTTTTTATATAATGTTTAAGTTGAAGTACTAAAATGACTAAAATAAAATAATTTAAAGCTAAATAGAAATATATATAAAAAAAATCAAAAGACAAAAGCATATAACATAACATTGTTAACTAAAACTAAAAAAAAAAGTGATTTAAATAAAGCAGAAAAAATAAAATATAATGTTTAAGTTGAAGTACTAAAATTAAAAAGAATTAAATCTAAATAGAAATATATATAAAAAAGACAAAAGCATTTAACATTAACTACTGTTAACTAAAACAAGTAATTGAACAGTAATTGAAATACAGCTGTAATAAAAATAAAATAAATATTAGATGAAAAACGTAAACTTCAAAAACAAACGAAAATTAGAAATGTTGCTTTGGCAAATCTAAGTACTAAAATACAAAAAAATAAAGCTAAATAGAAATACTACAACAGACTAATAGAGATGACAATATCAAAATAAACTAAAACTAATTAAAAATATATATATATATAAAAAAATTTCAGTAATTGAAATAAAGCTGAAATAAAATAAATGTAAAATATTAGATGAAAAAATAAAAATCTGAAATGTTGTCTTGGCAATGAACTAATATAAAATTAAGCACTTAAAAAACTAAAACAAAAAATTTAAGCTAAATAGAAATATCAAAAGAAACTAATAAAAATGACAAAAGCACATAACATTAACTAAAAAAAGGTAATTGAAATAAAGCAAAAAAAATGTTTAAGTTGAAGTACTAAAAAGATTAAAATTTAAAAAAATAAAATAAAGCTAAATAGAAAGACAGATTAATAGAGATGACAATGTCACAATAACAAACTAAAACTAATTGAATAAAAGTAATTGAAATAAAGCTGAAATAAAATAAATAAATGTAAAATATTAGATTTTTTTTTATTATTATGAAATGTCTTGGCAATTAACTAAAATAAAATTAAGTACTTAAAAAAAACTAAAACTAAAAAGTTAAGCTAAATAAAAATATCAAAAGAAACTAATAAAAATGACAAAAGCACATAACATTAACTAAAAAAAGGTAATTGAAATAAAGCAGAAAAAATAAAATAAAATATAATGTTTAAGTTGAAGTGCTAAAATTAAAAATAATTAAAGCTAAAATGAAATATATATAAAAAAAGACAAAAGCATTTAACATTACCTACTGTTAACTAAAACAAGTAATTGAACAGTAATTGAAATACAACTGTAATAAAAATAAAATAAATATTAGATGAAAAACTTGTTTAGATGAAGAAATGTTGCTTTGGCAACTGAAATAAAAATCTAAGCACTAAAATACAAAAAATAAAGCTAAATAGAAATACTACAACAGACTAATAGAGATGAAAATGTCAAAATAAACTAAAATGAATAAAATAAAATATATATATAAAAAAACATTTTTCAGTAATTGAAATAAAGCTGAAATAAAATTTTTAAAAATTAAATAGTAGATGAAAAAAAATCAGAAATGTTGGCTTGGCAATGAACTAAAATAAAATTAAGTAATTACAAAAAACTAAAACTAAAAAATTTTAAGCTAAATAGAAATATCAAAAGAAACTATTAAAAATGACAAAAGCACATAACATTAACTTAAAAAAGGTAATTGAAATAAAGCAGAAAAAATGTTTAAAGGGGTCATATGATGTTGCTAAAAAGAACATTATTTTGTGTATTTGGTGTAATGAAATGTGTTTATGCGGTTTAAAGTTAAAAAAACACATTATTTTCCACATACTGTACATTATTGTTTCTCCTCTATGCCCCGCCTTCTGAAACGCGTCGATTTTTACATTTAATGCATGGCCTCTTTAAAAAATATTTTTCGAAGTTGTAAACAAAACCCAAATATGTTTGACAAGAAAATATAGCCTACAATTTCAGCTTTTCCACTTCAAATTTTGAGCTTAAATTCAATGTGTAATGTGAAATGTACTCGTGATTAGGCTAAAGGTAATATTTTGACTGGGTTGGTTTGTGAAGCGTGTGGAGTTCTCTCTCACCACCTGATTGGTCTGCAGGAGCCCATGTGATCGTTGTGTGAGTTCCAGCGCGGGAACTCGGGATACTCTCCGCGCTCCAGGATGAACTGCTGGCCCTTGAAGTCCGGATGATCGAAGCAGATCCAGGCGCCGCTCTCCACGCGGATGGAGTTCACTCGGTTCATGAAGCCACGGTCCTGGAAGTTATCACAGTCACCGTAGACCTCCAGCCGGCGGCCGGTGAAGCAGCGGCCCTCGTAAAACACGATCTGAGGAGCGCAGGAGCGCAGGAGCGGGGTCAGACTACAGACACATCCTGAGTGACGCATGCTTTCAGTCCAAAACCCTCTGAAGACGAGTTTCTTTAACTGTGTGTCATATAAAAATGACAGGAACTCTCCAAGCCAAGGTTGTTACTGTTACTTTAAACTAAAATCATTAAAAACATTACTTGAAATTAAATAAACATTAACTGAAAAAAAAAAAAAAAATTATATATATATATATATATAACAAATAGATTTTAAAAAATATTGCTGTATATATATATATATCATGTTAAAATAAAAATGGAATGTTTTTTTGTTTTATTAACATTTTTAATTAGCTTTTATTTTTTTATATTTTTCATTTGGATTTTAATTTTAATGTTTTTGTTGTGTTTTGCCATTTTTATTTGTTTTTTTAAATGTCTGTTTTTATTCATTTTTATTTCAGTTTTAGTTTTAGATATGGAAATCAACTTGAACTAAATGAAAATGAGAAATGTTGTAGCTGAAATAAATTGTTTTTGTTTTCGTTAATATTAAATTACTCTTTATTTTATATTTTCTATCTGAATTTTGAATTTTAAAAATATTTCTATACAGTTTTAATTTTTATTTCAGTTTTAGTTTCAGATATTTAAGGAAATCAAATCATCAAAATATCATCACTATAATGCAAAAATTATACATTAAATGCAATATGTTTTTTTTATTGTTATTTATACATTTGTCATGCTCAACATTTCACCTCACCAAAATCTCATTATTTTAATTATATGATATTTTCTGGCATGAAAAAAAAAATCTCTTTGCGTGTTAAAATATGAATGATTAATAAAACAAGAACAGGTCAGTGTATGTGTCTCGTGTTAATAATTGTGTAAATCACAGCAAGCGACTCGAGAGATAGTGAAACAAAACGCTGCGTTTAATGATTACAATCAAAAAAGTCCAACAACCTTCACTACTGAATGAATGCTGCCAACTTTATTGGCCATAATTACGTTTAAGAAGCACACACACATTAAAATCACTCTATAATCATGATCGTGATTCATTCATCACTCAATCAGCAGCTGAAATGACTTTCCTTTCCACTGATGCCACTTCCAACTTAAAAAAAAATCGAGCGAGTGTGTTATTCAGGAACGTCACGGACAGATTCCGTCTCACAAAGCAATAAATAAAAGAAAAATATCACACAACTAAAAAATGCAAAGTCAAATGAAGTATAAAAAAGGTTTAAAAGAAAAAGCCGACATGTCTATGGAAACAGGCAGTTAGCCACTTCAAGTAGAGGGATTGGTGTCCCAGTGTCCCAGTGCTGCAGGAGGGGCTGGAAACAGACTTTTCTAGCAAACATCTCAAGTTAAACGTCCTGAACCCTGATCGAACCCGTTAATCCTAGAACCAGACCAGAAAACACAAGCCAAGCCCAAACTCCAGCCTCAAACAAACATGCTTGCTAGAAAAGTTTGTGCTGGTTCTCGGGTGGGCGGGGCAGACTGTGGGAGAGGGGCGG